TGTTGTTCACAGGGTTGCTGTGAGTCATGCTCAACTTGACAGCCTCTAATAACAGCAATAGTAACATATGTATCCTGATCTCCTGACTGCTGGTACTAAGGATATTGATTGTGGATCCAAAGTAAGATGAATTAGTCCACAAGTTCAATCTTTCCTCCATTCATCATGATGTTGCCTACTGGCCCAGTGGTGAGGATTTCTGCTTTCTTGACGTTGAGATGTAATCCATACTGAAGGCTGTAGTTCTTGATTTTCTGCAGCAAGAGCAAAGTCTTGCTTGGTTTCAAATCCACAAGAACCAAAATATGACTTTGGGTCTACCCCATCTGAATGTAAATATCATCTTAGAATAGATTTGAGGCACTAAACACTAAGCTGAAGACCAGATGAATTGTAGGATGACATAAAAGGTATCATCCATGATGAGAGCAAAAGGTCATTACAAAGACAGAAGAGATAGAAAAGATTAAAATAGATGTCAGAAGACACTCTGACATCTCCCCAATGTTGAGAATAAAAACAAATGAGATGTTCAAGTAAAAGGGATAAACAGATTTCAAAGGGCAGTTTGAGAAGACAAAGCAAAGTATTATAATGGAATGTGCAAAGAGGTAGAGCTGGAGAATAAAAAGGGAGGAACTTGCTTGGCATTTTTCAAGTTGGAAAAACTGAAAAGCAAATTCAAGCCTTGAGTTGCAATACTGAGGGACCTTTGGGGAAAAATCTTGAATGATCCAGGAAACATGAAAAGATTTAGGGAATATATAGTCACTGTATCAAAAAGAGTTGGTCAATACTGAAATATTTCAGGATGTAGCATATGATAAAGTCAATGGTAATGAAGGGAAAAATTCAAGCTGCAGTGAAGGCGTTGGCAAAAAAAGAAGCCCCATGAATTGATGAAATATCAAATGACATGTTTCAAGTAGGATTTAGCCCTGGGCATGCTCACCAGTCTGTGCCATTAAATTTGGAAGACAGCTACCTGGCTAAGTGCCAGGAAGAGATCCAAATTTGTACCCTTTCCCATGAAAGGTGATCCCACAGAATGTAGAAGTATACCATTACTATCACATACATGCAAAATATTACTGAAAATCATAAAAAAATGGCTATAATAGTACACTGACAGAGAACTGTCAGAAGTTCAAGTTGGGTTTAGAAGAGGCTGTGATACCAGCGATATCATTGCTGATGTCTGATACATTTTGGCGGAAAGCAAAGAATAACAGAACAATGTCTGTGTTTTATTAATAAGACTATGTAAAGGCATATGACTGTGTGGATTATAATAAAACTATGGCTAACACTGAGAAGAATAGGAATTCTAGAACATTTAATAATGCTCAATCAAAACTGTACCTAGATCAAGAAGCTGCTGACCATTTATGGCAGACACAGAATTTAATGAAATAACATATGAGCAAGAGCCTATGGTGATAAAGGAAGAAGTTCAAGCTGCTTTGAAGGAAACAGCAAAAAA